AAAAAGTCTCAAACTCTATATTCTATTTGAATATTTGTGTGTGTGTGTGTAGAAAGACTGAGAATGGGATAAAATCTGAGAGGATACATACTAAAGTTAAAACACTGTTTCTGAAGAGGAGATGAGATTTGGGCAGAGGAAGTAGGTAGAGTGAGAATGGTTATGGGAGACTTCTGCTTTGTGTTATTTGAATATTTTAAAAGGTGAATTATAGTGTTTTATTGAGGGCTGCATAAACTCATTTTAGAAGCATTGTGCAAATGTCCCTGATGCCTCATGTAAGTATATGTACATATAAATAATGGCCTTATTGAAATAATATTCTAAATATGTTTTCTAGTAAAAGTAATGATAATAAAAGTGGAAATTTCTGGTTAGGAGAGAATGGGAGAAACACCATGACAGTTAATGAGCAGGTTGTTTTGAAGGCCATAGTGGCCCAGTAGGAATAACACTGTTTTTGGAATAAAAATCTGAATTTGAGGCTTTCCCTGCATTGTATGACCTTGACCCTAAATCTCCTCATCTTGTCAAATCAGAACTATTACTAGATAGATGTTTTTTAAACCAAGATCTGCAAAGCCCCATTGAAGACTATTTCTTATTAAACCAGAGGAGCTCCCTGTTAATGTGCTTTGCTTATTTAGCTAATATTTATGTTTTTATTTTGAGTTCTGTGCCTAATGAGTTTGAAAGTGAATTGAAGATGTCTAATATCTCTCCTAGGTATAAAATTAAATTACTTTTATGGTTTTTATTTTAAAAGTCCCTCAGATCAGTAGGTTGCCTTGTAGGTGAAGGCTCAATTCCAAATGAACACTTTCAGTCATACTACTCAAAGGATCTACTCTTCTAGGTCCTTGTTAAACATTTCTTGTATTTTCTCCATTCTGTTCCCAAGATTTTGGATCATCTTTACTACTATTATTATGAATTCTTTTTCAGGTAGACTGCCTATTTCCTCTTCATTTGTTTGGTCTGGTGGGTTTTTACCTTGCTCCTTCATCTGCTGCGTATTTCTCTGTCTTCTCATTTTGCTTATCTTACTGTGTTTGGGGTCCCTTTTTCACAGGCTGCAGGTTCGTAGTTTCCGTTGGTTTTGGTTTCTGTCCCCAGTGGGTAAGGTTGGTTCAGTGGGTTGTGTAGGCCTCCTGGTGGAGGGGACTGGTGCCTGTGTTCTGGTGGATGAGGCTGGATCTTGCCTTTCTGGTGGGCAGGACAGCATCCGGTGGTGTGTTTTGGAGTGTCTGTGAACGTATTATGATTTGGGGCAGCCTCTCTGCTAATGGGTGGGGTTGTGTTCCTGTCTTGCTGGTTGTTTGGCACAGGGTGTCCAGCACTGTAGCCTGCTTGTTGTTGAGTCGGGCTGGGTCTTAGTGTTGAGATGGAGATCTCTGGGAGGGCTTTTGCCATTTGATGTTGCGTGCAGCCAGGTCTCTGGTGGACTAATGTCCTGAACTCAGGTCTCCCACTTAGAGGCTCAGGCCTGATACCCGGCTGGAGCACCAAGATACTGTCAGCCACACAGCTCAGAAGAAAAGGGAGAAAAAAATAAAGAAAAAAAGGAAAAAAATAAAGTAAAATAAAACAAAAATAAATTTTTAAAAATAAAAAAATAAGTAATAAAAGAAAAGAAAGAAAGAAAGAAGAGAGCCACAAAACCAAAAAACAAATCCACCAATGATAAGTGCTAAATAGTATACTAAAAAAACAAACAAAAATGGACAGACAGAACCTTAGGAGAAATGGCAAAACAAAGTTATACAGAGAAAATCACACAGAGAAGCATACACATACACACTCACAGAAAGAGAAAGAGGAAAAAAAAAAATATATATATATATAAAAACAGGAGGAGAGCAACCAAATCAATAAACAAATCTACCAATGATAATAAGCTCTAAATACTAAACTAAGATAAACATAAAACCAGAAACAAATTAGATGCAGATTGCAAACCCAAAGTCTACAGTTGCTCCCAAGTCCCCCAAAGTCCACCGCCTCAATTTTGGGATAATTCGTTGTCTATTCAGGCATTCCACAGATGCAGGGTACATCAAGTTGATTGTGGAGATTTAATCGGCTGCTCCTGAGGCTGCTGGGAGAAATTTCCCTTTCTCTTTTTGTTCGCACAGCTCCTCGGGTTCAGCTTTGGATTTGGCCCTGCCTCTGCACGTAGGTCACCTGAGGGTGTCTGTTCTCCGCCCAGACAGGACGGGGTTAAAGTAGCAGTTGATTAGGGGGCTCTGGCTCAGGCCGGGGAGAGGGAGGGGTACGGAATGTGGAGTGAGCCTGTGGCAGCAGAGGTCAGCATGATATTGCAACAGCCTGAGGCCACCGTGTGTTCTCCCCGGGAAGTTGTCCCTAGATCCCGGGACCCTGGCAATGGCAGGCTGCACAGGCTCTCGGCGGGGAGGTGTGGATAGTGACCTGTGCTTGCATACAGGCGTCTTGGTGGCTGCAGCAGCAGCCTTAGTGTCTCATGCCCATCTCTGTTGTCCTCGCTGATAGCCACGGCTCATGCCCGTCTCTGGGGCTCATTTAGGCCGTGCTCTGAATCCCCTCTCCTCGTGCACCACAACCAATGGTCTCTTGCCTCTTAGGCATGTCCAGAGTTTTTCCCGGACTCCCTCCCGGCTAGCTGTGGCGCACTAACCCCCTTCGGGCTGTGTTCACGCAGCCAACCCCAGTCCTCTCCCTGGGATCTGACTGCTGAAGCCCGAGCCTCAGCTCCCAGCCCCAGCGGGTGAGCAGGCAATATTCTCAGGCTGTTGAGTGTTGGTTGTCACCAATCCTTTGCATGGGAATCTCTCTGCTTTGCCCTCTGCACCTCTGTTGCTGTGCTCTCCTCCATGGCTCTGAAGCTTCTCCCCCACACACTCCCCATCTCCACCAGTGAAGGGGAAACTTTTCCTCCTTCACAGCTCCCTCCCACTGGTGCAGGTCCCATCCCTATTCTTTTCTCTCTGTTTTTTCTTTTGCCCTACCCAGGTACGTGGGGAGTTTCTTGCCTTTTGGGAAGTCTGAAGCCTTCTGCCAGCATTCAGTAGGTGTTCTGTAGGAGTTGTTCCACATGTAGATGTAATTTTGATGTATCTGTGGGGAGGAAGGTGATCTCCCTGTCTTATTCCTTCACCATCTTGAAGGTCCCCCTGTCACATAGGGTTTAGACTTCAATTGGAAGAGTGAAATATTCAGCAGGCATGCAGCAGCCACGCAGCAGCCACTTCTGGAACACCTCCTGGGAATTACTCAAATGCCAATTACTTTCTCTCAGAGAAGGTGAAATTGGTTTTGGTTTTGGTTTTTGTTTGTTTGTTTTAATGAAAAAAGGAAACTGGAGTTGGAAAGAGAATTAGATCTAAAGATTGAGTAAAAGCCACCTATGTTCCTTGAGACTAAAATTTTGAGATATATATAACAGTGGGTGAAGGGGATGGATCAAAATGTTTTTTTAGGATTTGCTATGCTACTGCAAGGATTTATTTTAGGTCAGCTTAAAGCCTTTTGGCCCCATATGTTCAGGTTGAAGACTGGAGAAACTTCCTATTACATAAGGAAATTTACCTTTAAGCCAAATTATGGATGTCAACAAAAAGGCTAATCAGTGCTTTTCCTGTGTCATGATTTCTGAGAAACCAAATTAGTTATCAGAAGTTTATTTGGTAAGGATGGAATCGTGGCAAAACAAGGTAGATCATTTTGAGGGATATTTCATTTAGACCATGATGTCTGAGGAATCATTTTTGTTCTACAGAAAAACAAAGTATTCCTTTCCAATGACTGGGAAGTATGGGCTCCTTAAATTCATATATTCTTTACCATGAAGGATGTTAATCATGGATAACTTCTGGCTTCAGTCTATCACTTAGCTGACCATCCTCTTTCTGAGTACAGTCTTTCTTCAGCGAGAATGACATAATTGGTTAGGTTTCTGGTTTTTTGAATTATAGTTATAGTCTTGCCTTCCAGAGATTATAGTCAAGTAAACTTGATTGGAGTTTTTGTATTTCCAAATTGTTCACAATTATTTTTATATTTTTTGGGTTTACTCCCATAAATGGTAAGTTATATCATCATGTTTGGATTTTATGAGCCTTGTTCTTTGAAAGTTACCTTATTTTCAAGACCTTGTGGGCTACATTTTGCTACTCTTAGTGTCAATAACAGTTCTGTTTAGGTACCCATAAAGTACTTCTGAGGACCTAAAATGAAGTGGGAAAATGGCATCTAAAATCTTTTGTTTGGGACCTGGGCTACCTGTATATAGACTTTGTATTATGAAATTATCTTAAAATAAGGATATAAAGACATCACCTTCACAAATAAATAAAAGTTTGTTGAGGGTTAGTCCAGGCTAAAAGCTACAAAGTTTAAATGGAGCTCATTAGTATCTGTCATACCTCATGACTATATGCTTGGTTTCTGGGAGGCTACATAGAATATGGTTCTTTGAGAAGCAGAAATTATTTTAATAACTGAAAATTAGGTTGGGATCTACAACTTAAAGAGTACTTAGGCTTTCATCTTTGTGTTCACTTCTTAGATGGAGATGACAACTTTAATAGCTGAGCAAAGAGAAACACACACTTAGGTGCAGTATGCCATGCAATAGGCAAACATAGGCAATGTCTTTTCCTCCTGTTATCTGGCACATGTATCTTAGGCTTTAGAGATCATTTCTAGACATAATTGGATGTCTAATTTTATCATTCTCCAAGGCTCATACTCCATTTTGGTGTTTGAAAAAAACCTATTGTTTAATGCATAGTTAAATTTTCTTTGAAGTGAAACCAGTTAAATATTTGATCTTCAGGCATTTGCACAGCTCTTTTAATTCAGTAAAAAGCAATTATAATTAATTAAATTTTGTGTAAATATAAATAAGTACACAAAGCAAATACCTTAATAATATATGATCTGGCATGTTCTTGGGCATAGCAGATAACTTCTCAAAGTAAGACTTATCTATAACTTTGTGTTTCATTATATTGATACAGAACAGCTTTGCACCTGGCCTGTGCTAATGGATATTCAAATATTGTATCTCTCTTGATTGAGAAACAGTGCAAAGTAAATGTCTGGGATGGTGAAAACAGATCTCCATTGACTAAGGTGTGCTGATTTTTCCTTTTCAATTGAATTACATTTGAGTTCTTCTCCTAGTTAACCTTTGTTATATTTCATATTTTAAAACATAGTATTAAACATTAGTTTAATATATCAGATCCTAAATAGTAAATTGGTTACCCGTCTATTCTTTTTGTACTGACAGGCAGTACAGTGTGACAAGGAGAGTTGTGTTACTATTCTTCTAGAACATGGCGCAGACCCAAACCTGGTGGATTTATATGGCAATACTGCTCTTCATTATGCTGCTTGTCATCAAAGTGACTCATTAGTTGCAAAATTGCTTGAACACAAAGCTAATCTTGAAGCTCAAAATAAGGTAGTCTTCTATTAAAAACAATACATTATATTTTAGAAAGCAGTAAAAGAAGGTATTCATTGCAGATAATTTGTATCTGTTGAGACACATGTTATATAAAACATGAATTTTACAAAATGAAATTAGGGAGAAGGAGAAGGAGAATGAGATTATCAAATACTGATAAGGTTTTCCTTTTTAAAAAAACCTTTCTCCATTTCATTTCAGATTATAATCTTGACCTCCAAAGCAACATGAGTTTTAATCCTTTTATATTTTATTTGTATACTCGTGAATAATTAGAGTAAAATTAGAAAAATCACTTGTTATACTAAAAGTAATCCAAGTCACCTATTAAGACTTTATGGATAACTGATTAATATATGTTTTTAAGCTCCCTAACACTTTAGTTCACTGATACTTTATATGCATGACAGGCCAAAATAAGTGCCAGCCTTGGAAGTTTAAATGAAACCCTAGGAAACTCAGCTGTAACAACATTACAAAATGTGAATTGATGGTTTGCAATACTTATGTTAAATTCTAGGTGCTCAGTAATTAAATACTCCTGAGTGCTCTTGCCCACAATTTGAATTAAGCCTAAAGCAGAAACTTCAATTTTATTTTTTGACTGGCCAACTATATTTTATTTTAGTATTATTTATTTATTTTTATAATTTTTATAATTTTATTTTGATTTTTTGACAGGCATATATATATTCTTTTTTAGATTCTGTTCAATTATAGGTTATTACAGAGGTTTCTTATAAGCATACTTATTTTTTAAATTGAACTTAAATTAAAAGGCATGGAATGTTGGTATAATATTTTAAATAATCATTTTGAAATAATTTTTCCAGGATGGGTATACTCCACTTTTACTTGCCATTACTGAAAATAATGCAGAAATGGTAGAATTTCTTCTGAAGAGTGGGGCAGATGTGAATGCTTCAGATAAGAATCAAAGGTATAATTAATGTTAAATAAGAGCATATAACTATAGCTATCTAACAGGAATATATACACATGCACACATATGTTAAATTCTAGGTGCTCATTCCTTAAATACTCCAGGCTGCTCTTGACCTCAGTGTGAAGTAAGCCTATATATATATCATATATGTATATATGAGACATATTTTTGAAACTGAAAAGATTTGGCCATATGATTTTGGACAAATTACCTAGATTCCCAGGATCTATTTCTCTATCTGCAAAATCAAACAGTTGGGCCAGATTGGTATGTAATTATTGCTATTATTTTTTTTTAACATTAGAATCTTACACAGAAACTCAATCTCTAAATCCCAGATGCTGTAGTTAAATGGGGATAGGGTACCCAGAGTCCCAGACACTCCTCTCCATAGAATTTTTGAGACATCTCCTGGAAAACACTAGTGTTCCCAGGAGCAGGGGTTGAAAACCACTGAGCTAGCTGCTTCCTAGAGACTCTTATCTTTAGACTTCATGATATGATCTGTGATTAGCACACCTTTTTGAGTAGATCTGCCCCACATTTTACATTCTTGCCCCAACTCTTTTCCTGATCATACATTTAAACAGTAAATTTAGAAGACTCATTTTTTTAAAAGTACAAGACATGGTTAAGATTCATAAATGGACACATTTATATCTCTTGCTCCAGAACAGCCCTTATGATTGCTCTCAGTGATGAACCAACAAGTTTAGTCAGTCTTCTTCTTCAGCAAGAGGTGAACCTATCTTGTCAAGATATTTATGGATTCACAGCTGAGGAATATGCTTCTTTCAATGGTTTTACTGTGTAAGTGATACTGCATATCTTTTAACAATTGTGTGGAATTTGAGCATAAGGAAAGAAACATGAACCCCAAAGTACAAAGCACACAATAGGGGTAAACACATGAAGAACTCTGGACCCATGGATCCAGGAATGCTTGATTTTCGCTGTCAATATAAGAACAGCAATATAGGACCTAATCAATATAAGAACTGCAGGTAGGCTGAGTCTACAGATTAATAAATTCCCAGTGGCATGGGAATTTGAAGTATGCCAGAACAGGGATTCCAGCAACTAGTGACATACCATTAATAAAACATATGGGCAATAGAGGAGACTGGCAGTGATGGCTGGGTAGAAAGACCCTGAGTGCACCTCCTCTCATGGGTATACCCAAATTACAACTATTTACAAAACAATCATTGATGAAAAAGACTGGAATTTACCAGAAAAGATCTTCTACAACTAAAGATGTAAAGAAGGAACCACAACTAGATGGGTAGGAGGGGCAGAATCATGATATAGTCAAGTCCCATACCCCAAGGTGGGTGCCCAACAAGTGGGAGAATAATTACAATTGCAGAGGTTCTCCCAAGGGAATGAGGGGTCCAAGCCGAACATTGGGCTTCCCAGCCTGGCGGTCCTGCACCAGGAAGACAAGCCACCAGAGCATTTGGTTTAAAGGCCAGCAGGGCTTATTTTTAGGAGTCCCAGAGGGCTGGGGGGAATAGAGACTTCTCTCTTAAAGGATGCGCACAAAGTCTCACACTCTCCAGGACCCAGGGCAGAAGCAGTAATTTGAAAGGAGCCTGGGTCAGACCAGCTGCTGTTCTTGGAGAGTCTCCAGGAGAGGCAGGAGGCAACTAGAGTTCACCCTGGGGACACAGACACTGGGGGCAGCCATTTTGGGAGCTTGTTCTACCACATGGACACTGGTGCTGGCAAGCACCATTCTGGAATCATTCCTCTAGCTTATTGGCCTCAGGATGCAGTGCTGCCCTGGCCCAACAGTCTGTAGGCAACAGTGCTGGATGCCTCAGGTCAAGCAATTAATTAACTGGGCAGGAACACAGCCCAACCCATAGCAGACAGGCTACTTTAAGACCTCCTGAGCCCACAGCTGCCCCTCGACAGGGCCCTGCTCACCAGAAGGCCCAGAACCCAGGCCCACACTCCAGTGCATAGGCACTAGACCTGGGACCCCCAGGGCCCTCCAGCCAGAGACCCTAGGACCCAGCTCCACCCACTAGTGGGTAGACACCAGCCACAAGACAACTGCAGCCCTGTAGCCTGTGGACCTGGCCCACCACTAGCAGGCCAGACCCTGCCCAGGGACCTGGTCCCACACACCAGCAAGCATGTTCTAGCCTTGGGACCAACCTCACCCACCAGCAGGCAGACAGCAGCCACAAGACAACCACAGCACTGCAACCTACAAATCCAGCCCCTCCACCAGCAGGCCAAATCCTGCCCTGTGACCAGCTGGGCCCTGGTCCCACCTACTACTAGGCCAACACAAGCTTGAAGACACCCTGGACCCTGTAGCCAACTGTGTCAGGAAGTGGCCCCACCCACCAGCAATTTGACACCAGCTCTGGGACTCCTGGGACCTGCAACCAGTCCCCAGGATCCAGCTCTGCCCAGCAGTAGGCTTGCACTAGCCCCAAGACCTGGTTTCATCCACCAGTGGGCAGGCAATAGCACCAGGGTCTTCTGGACCCTGACTTTGCCCACTAGGGAGACAGCACTAGCTACAGGGACCCCCAGGATTCTATAGTCAGCCACCTCATAACCTGGCCCTGCCAACCACAGGGGCAGGGCCTGGCAACGAACCAGACCAGGGGCCAACCAAGCCTACAAGACTGCCCATAGAAATCAGCCTGCCACAATAGAAGGACTCATATAGCCCACATAAGGGGCACCCCTAGAGCATATAGCTATGGTGACAAGAGGAGAGTGCACTGCTGGGATGCACAGGCCTACAAAAAGGCCACTTATCCAAGGAAATGTAACCAACCTACCAGATACAGAAAAATAAAAAGTGAATTAGGCAAAATGAGGTAAAAGGGAACATGTTCCAAATGAACGAATAAGATAAAATCTCAGAATAACTAAGTGAAGTAGATAGGGAATCTACCCGAGAAAGAGTTCAGGGTAGTGATTGTAACAATGATCAAAGAACTCAGGAGAAGATGGATGCACAGACTGAGAATTTAGAAGTTTATAACAAGGTGTTAGAAAATATAGAACAGCCAAACAGAGTCAAAGAATACAATGACTGAAACGAACAATCAAGTAGAAGGTATCAACAGTAGACTAAATGATACAGAGGAATGGATCAGTGAGCTGGAAGATAGAGTAGTAGAAATCACTGATGCTGAACAGAAAAAAGAATGAAAAGAGTTTAAGAGATCTCTGAGACAACATCAACCACACTAATATTCACATTATAGGGGTCCCAGAAGGAGAAGAGAGAAAGGGGCTGAGAATATATCTGAAGACCTAATAGCTGAAAACTTCCCTAACGTGGAAAAGGAAACAGCTTCCAAGTCCTGGAAGGGCAGAGAGTCCCATATGGATTAACCCAAAGAGGAACACACCAAGGCACACTGTAATCAACATGGCAAAAACTAAAGATAAAGAGAGAATATTAAAAGCAGCAAGGGAAAAACAACAAGTTACATACAAGGGAACTCCCATAAGGCTATCAGCTGACTTTTCAGCAGAAACTCTGCAGGCCAGAAGGGAGTGGCACAATATATTTAAAGTGATGAAAGGGAAAAACAAGGCCTTCATTCAGATTTGATGGAGAGAACAAAAGTTTTACAAAGAAGCAAAAGGTAAAAGAGTTCAGCACCAAAGGAACTTGTCTAAACAAAAAAGAAAAGGCCACAACTAGAAACATGAAAATTATAAAAGGAAACAACAAATCAGTAAAGGCAAACATACAGGAAAGGTAGGAAATCATCCACGCACAAACCTAGCAAGAAGGTTAAAAGACAAAAGTAGTAATATCATCTATATCCACAATAAGCAGTTAAGAGATACACAAAACAATTAAATATAAAACATGATATCAAAAATAGTAATTGTGAAGGGAGTAGAATAAAAATGTAGGGTTGTTAAAATGCATTTGAAATGTAGAGATCAGCAAATGGAAATCAAAAGAAAGCTGCATAGCAATACTGATACCACACAAAAGGGACTTTGAAACAAAGACTGTTACAAGAGTCAGAAAAGGACATTACATAAAAATCAAGGGATCAATCCAAAAAGAAGATGTAATAATAGTAAATATATGTGCATACAACATAGGAGCACCTAAATACATAAAGCAAATATTAACAGACATAAAGGAAGAAATAGACCGTAACACAATAATAGTAGGGTACTTTAACACCCCACTTATATCAATGGACAGATCATATTCAGACAGAAAATCAATAAAGAAACACTAGCCTTAAATGACACATTAGACCAGATCAACTTAATAGATATCTAAAGAACATTCCACCCAAAAGCAGCAGAATACACGTTCTTTTCAAGTGCACATGGAACATTCTTCAGGATAGATCATATGCTAGGCCAAAGCAAGCCTCAGTAAATTTAAGAAAATTGAAATCATATCAAGAATCTTTTCTCACCATAATGCTATGAGACTAGAAATCAACTACAAGAAAAAAACTGCAAAAAACACAAACACATGGAGGCTAAACAGTATGCTACTAAACAACCAATGGCACTGAAGAAATCAAAGAGGAAATCAAAAAATACTTGGAGACAAATGAAAATGAAAAAAACCACAGCGAGATATCACCTGGATGAAGAAAAAGTGGTATATATATATATATATATATACAATGGAATACTACTCAGTCATAAAAATGAATGAAAATTTGCCATTTGCAATACATGGATGGATTTGGAGAGTATTATGCTTAGTGAAATAAGTCAGAGAGAGACAAATACTATATGATATCACTTATTTGTGGAATTTATAAATAAACTAGTGAACATAACAAGAAAGAAACAGACTCACAGACATAGAGAAAAAACTAGTGGTTACCAGTGGGGAGGGGAAAGGGGGCAGAGGCAAGATACGGGTAGGGGATTAAGAGGTGCAAACTACAGTGTATAAAATAAATAAGCTACAAGGATATATTGTATAGAACAGAGAATATAGCCAATATTTTACAAAAACTATAAATGGAGTATAACCTTTAAAAATTGTGAATCACTATGTTGTACACCTGTAACTTATATAATATTGCACATCAACTACACCTCAATAAAGAAAATAAATGTATGGACAATAGAGTTGGGCAAAAGATGATTAATCCACACAAGCCCCTTTCATTGTTTTTACATATTAGTAATGTAAATATTTTGTTTGTTTTGAATATTATTGTTAATTTGTTATTAGCTAACTATAGTTTAAGTTTTCAGAATTCTTAAGTATATTCTCATTATACCCAAAAGATAAAACTTTTCATGACGAACATGAATTTCTGATTTTCATAGTCAATGAGAAATAAGATGCAATGAACAGAAATTATTTTATAGCTAATGAATTTAAACAACATATAGAATATGTTCTTTATAATTTTAAGGGCAATTTTAAATTATGCATAGATATTTTTTCTAGTTTATTGTTTTCTTATTCTTCTTCCATCTACTTTATTTACATTTTAACAATACCTTTTAATCATTAATTTCATATGAAAATCACGGGGAGAGAGAACGAGAAGGGGAGAGGGAAAGTAAAATAATTTTCATATATACATTCAGATGTTTATTTTAAACGTCTTAATTTAATTGAACTTTAGAAAATAAGGAATTCATAATCTATTAAATATGTCAACCATAATTGAATACAGTATTTCCATCTTTGCAATATTGGACATGTGTACTTTGTTTTACCTTGGTATAAGCAAACCATATGTTTAAAAATTTAAATAAAATAAAGAGATAAATTACTGGTGAATATCTGTAGCATAAAAAGGATTATTTGCTTTATAACAGGGGTTCCTAGCTGTTCATTCATCTCTTAAAAACTTTGGATATATGAAACTAGGAGACACATATATCTGTACAATAATATATTTATTGGTCTGAAAACAGCACTTATTTATCTAAATAACTTGTTTACATCTATATGTCTTATGAAGCTATTATTGGGTAGGTAGATCAGTAGGAAATTTCACAATCTTCTTTCATCTCCCCTAAGTGGTTTTTAGAACATTCTTTTTGTAGTTTGCTCCATCACTAATTTAAGAATAAATGAGTATGGAATTTTCATCATCTCAATATTACTTTAATATCGCCAATGTTGAAAATTCTAAGAGCATTATATTACTTTTCTTTTTTCCAAAGAGGTAAAAGGGAAGAGAGGTAATTTCCTAATGACTAAGCAATTACATTTAGGATGTGAAAACTATCAGCATATAATAAAAATTGCAAATGACTTTAAGCTGCAATCTAATGCCCCCATCCTCTTTTTTGTTTTTGCCCTTCTTTTGTAATGGTAACTAAGCTTTCTGTAATTGTGACTTTTGTTGGTTAAGTAGCTATTGCCTATCTACCATAGTGAGTACACAGCCTCTATTTTTAGTATCATTTGTTAGCTCTCTTTCCTGGTACATAAGGTCTACTGCTTTATTCAGAGTGGAAACATAGAATAAATATGTTTCTCATATACATAGTTTTTAAAAAATAAGTGAAACTGTCTCAAATGAGGGAATTATATTTAGACATTTATTTTACAGTTAGCTTTACCCCATACATTGCCTCATTCCTTTCACTGAAATTCTGAAATCATATGTCTATTAATGAGTGGCTAGAATGGGCTTTTTTCAGGCATGGAGAAAAGGTTTATTCTTTACTGGATATGGTTCAGTCTTAGACTGAGTTAAATGTCTTCACTTTGTCAATTTACTGTTAAGCCCAAGTGTTATGAGCTGAACTGTGTTCCCCCCAAATTCATGTTAAAGTCCTTTCTCACAGTGCCGCAGATTTTGGATAAATACATTTGGAGAAAGGGCCTTTAAAGAGTTGTTAAGTTAAAAATGACTGTGCATTAGGGTGGTCCCTCATCCAATTTGACTGGTGTCCTTATAAGAAGAGGAGATTAGAGGGACAATTTATGTGAAGAGGCAGCAAGAGGACAGTCATCTACTAGCCAAGGAGAGAGGCCTGGAACAGACAGATCCTTCCTGTGGTCCTCATAGGAAACCAGCCCTACTGGCACACTTGATCTTGGACTTCCTGCCTCCAGAACTGCAAGTAAATAAATTTCTGTTGTTTAAGCCACTCAGTCTGTGGTATTTTGTTATGGGAGCCCTAGCAATCTAATACACCAAGTATAACTTAAGCCACTTTTTCTACCTTGCCAGTGGCTTATCTGTGGTTATAGGAAAAAAAGAAGTGCCAGAAAATGGGAGTATGTGAAATAAAAATGGCATCTATTGATGGAGTTGGCTTGAGAGGAGGCTTGAGGTCAGCTGTGTGTGATATGCTTGGAAAGGCATTAGCTAATGTCTACAGTTTTGACTTGATAATTAGGTATCATGAATTGAACTGAATATTTATGAATGCTGGAATTCATATATATTTTCTCTTTGTGGATAGATATCACCAATTAATTGCTAATTATGAAAAGAAGAATGTTAAACAGATATCTAACTCTACAAATACAACTTTGGACTCTATATCTGATACAGAAGAACTGGAGGAAGGTAAGAAGATACAAAATGAACAAGTAGTTTTCCTTGTTGATTTTTATTTGTTTGGTTTTTAAGAAGGGACACGGCTTTTGCCAATAAAATATCTAGATTTGAAATTTTCTCCTATTTTTAATGGTAAATATTTTTAAGCGTTGTTCTTAGGAATATTGGTGATTAAAATATTCTGACACTGTTGAATGAAAATGTAATGTAAAAATATACTGAATGATTAAGACATTTTTATTCAGTCTCTTGAATAGTTATAAAAAACACTTTTTTGCATGTATATAGAGATTTTCAAGATATACAACTATTAGTATATTTTTTATTTTATTCTCAAAATACTTCACATAAGTATATTTGAAAATAGTTAATATAATATATACCTAATCATTACATAAAACTTAAAATTTAAGTAACAGTATTTGGGAAGATTTGAAAACACCATGCATTAAAATAATTTTTGGTGCTTATTTTAAAAAATACATACAGTTATTTAGGTCTGTAAAACACAGCTTTTGTGTATGTGTGTGAATATGTCTTATGCTGGCATTTAAAAAATGTTGGATGAACTAAAATGTCATACATTTATTCTCTATATTCACTAGCAACCACACTTCCACCCTACCCTTCACCTATAGTGTAAAAAAGAAAAAAAAAGAGAGAGAGAGAGCCTGATGAGAATAGGAGATCATTTAAATGCCACAGCTGTTCAAACACTCTCTATCCCCCCAAATGTATAATTATGATACTTAGAACAATGCTTGGCCCTATTGATTCTAGGTGAGTAAATTTAAGAGAGAATTTCCCTAATTTCCCTTTTACAAACTTAATCTTATAATCTTTCATGAAATTTTGGCTTTTTGGACTCTTGATCTACATCTTCATATCTCCCTCTCCTACAACTTCTCGTCTGTCTCTTTTTTAATGTCCACACAGCTATACGAAGTAAAGAATTTCCGTGATTTTATACTTCATTTCTTTAGGGAAATAAAGCAGTAGAACCTATAGAAACACCTCTCCTACATTTTTGTGTATCTCCTGAGGGCAAACAAAACCACCCTGAATCCTTTTACCCTGGCAATATATGTTTCTAGTTTCTAGTGAATTTTTAAATTTCACTATAATGTATCAAAGCATAATAGAAATATTAGGTCAAGAAAATTATCAGAAGACACTGCAAAAGATGGCAAACTTAAAAAGTTATATTTCTGTCAGATTCAAAGGGGGTAACTTATTTTAAAATGACTATAAAATGCAGAAGTATCAATGCTAAATTATAATTGTGTTCTAGCTGAGACATAGAATTTAAGAAATATACTTAGGAGTGAAAATATTTGAACATAAATGAAGACATTAAAAATATCACTTATTTTCCAGATGTGTAACCTCATTTCTACAAATCCTTTGCTGCTGCTTGGATCAGGAAAGTCTATTTTGAAAGAGCAGTTAAGTGAACTATCACAGAATTTTTGCTGACTACTCAATGAAGAAAAGTTTGGTAAATAGAGAGCCATTTTCACCTTAGAAGATGTGAAGAAATTTCAAAAGACAAACATCTATATTGTGACCCATCAGTTGAAAAAAAGAAATTTGTGTTAAGCATATGGGCAGAGAAAAACTTCTTAGTCAAAATATTAAATGAGATATTAGTAAAAGTAAACTTTGCAACATACTGTCTTAAGCAGGCATTAGAACATTCAAATAAAGTAAAAATATTAACATTTCAGCTACAAAATAGAGGAAAAAATAGAAATAATCCTGTGTAAATGGAAATTCTGTTTCATTTACAAGGACCATCATTGATAAAGCCTTTTTTGATTTTTTAGAAATACTATATTAATACGTATCCAGGGTATTATAGAAAAGAAAAAAAAATGCATCACCCATAGTCTCATCACTCAAACAAAACATTTGTCAAATTTTGGGCATGTTTTTGTAGTCTTTTAAAATTTGCTTAGCTTTTTTCTTTATCTCAGAGGAAATTTATAATTTTGCATTTTTCTTTTTAAAGACACAGTATATAGTTCACAGTTTTCACTGTGCTGCTTGCCATTCCTTAAACACATGCAGCATGGTCTGGCTTCAGGACTATTCCCTGGAAGACTCTTCTTTAGTTGTCTCCTGGGACAGCTTCCTCGCCTCACATGGGACCTCAGCGCAGCCTTCTGTGGCTGCCCTGCCGTTCATCTCTTACAGTGCTTTATTTTCTGTCCCTTTCCTGCTTGCCTTTTGGATTGCAAAATCCATGAGAGCTTGAACTTTTTGTTCATAGTTAAATCCCCATCACTTATAAATGCCTGGAGTAAAGTATTCAATTTGCTGAATACATAAGAACTCAAGCGTGTCAGGCACTATTCCAAGCATTTCACGTATCTTAACTCATGTAGTCTTCACATTCTTGTTGAGGTAAGTACTATTTGTATCCTCATTTTATGATGAGGATATTGAGGTGCAACAAGATTAAATGACTTGCTCAAAGCTCCTGAGCTAGGAAGCTGAGAGCTGGGATATGAACCCCTGCACTCTGGATTTGAACCTACCCAGTCTGACTCCAGAATTTGCTGCATTAATCAATATACCATACCATCTCTCTCATGAACAAATGAATATGTATCATCCTTATAAACTCAATTGTTAATGGCTCAGAGGAAAGCTTTGTGCATTGTTTGCAATGTATTTAAAGCATTCATTCATTTAAATATATTTGTTGAACTCCCCACTAGTGCTAGGAGGTGTGGAAGAGCCAAAGTGGAGGAAAAACCTGACAATTCCTGACAGCAACTCAACACACATTTAATTTTCACTATGGTTTAGATCAGTGGTTCTCAACTGGTGGCAACTTTTCGTCCCCCAGAGGATATTTAGCAATGTCTGGAGAGAATTTTGGTTGTCAGCACTATGCAGGAATACTGCTAAATGGCCCATAATGCACAGGACAGTCCCCTACAAGTCCTTATCGGGCCCCAAATGGCAACAGTGCCCAGGCTGAGAACCTCTGATCTCAATTCTATATTATGTACTGGGGTACAAAGAAGAAAAAGGTGTCTTATATCCTGTGCCCTCAATGATCTCACAAATGTTTAGTCTGGCCCCCACCCCAATCTTTGTCAACTTCCAAGTTAATGAGGATCAGGCCTTTAGTATTGGGTTAGCCAAAAATTTCATTCGGGTTTTTCCTAAGATGGCATGGGAAAACCCGAACGAACTTTTTAGCCAACCCAATATTAGCATGGGAGACAGAGTGATAAACTATTAATACTTACAGCAGGTTAGGGTGGGTCAGAGGTGATTCAAAATAAAAGAGAAACCTTTTGGCTGGGCTTGCCTTCGTAAGTAAAGTTTCTCTGGGTGTTCCAAACAAAATGTACCCATCATAATAAAAGTTAATTCATAATAGAGACACAAGCCAAGGACCCAAGAATCAGAGGACGGAGAGATCATTTATGGAACTTTGACCAAGGTTAACCTTGGTGGAGAAGAGAGGGTTTGAATCAGGTCCTGAAGGCTGGATGGAATTTTGACATGGGACATCTCAAAAAAAACCAGACAGGATAGAGAAAGAACTTTGATATTTTATAATTGAATTTGTGTCCATCTGGGGAAAATGCATACTTTAAAACAGTATGTTGTAGGGCAGGTGTAGTAGTACAGCAATATTTGATTTGAGTTTAATTGCCAGCTCATTGTTTTTAATTCTCTCAAGTATTTAAAACCTTAGAATGCTATTACATTGAGAATTCCTTTTTAGTGTGTCTGGTAATGTCTAAAATAGAGCACATTTTCTCTTAAGAAGTTTAACAACAGAAAACACCTATTTAATATATATCCAACTTTAGGTGAATATTTAAATTTCCTCTAGGCAGCCATATAAATAGACTACTTTTCTCACTCATGTGGACAGCTTGGAGGAATATCGTTCTTTATGATTGAATCCTCAAACTTTACCCTTCCCCTTCTCATCCCAACCAAACTAGGGTGATGCCATAGGTTGTGAAGGTACTGGCCAAAGTATGTGTTCTGACACAGGTCTGTGCCAAAGGAAGAAAGGGTACATTTCTAATTTTTAAGGGTATTTCTAATGGGCTAGGGGTGGCCCTGTCTTAGCTCCATCACAAACTCTGCTGAATTTGTTCCCTTCGTTATCTCTCTAAAACTGTAGCCTCTGCTGGCACCAGCCATCTCCTGGGTGCTGATGCTACCCTACTGTCTTCCAGAAACCCATGGACCATGTCTTTGCCTGGGCTGTAGATCCAGCTTGTTTTAACCTCATTTCCATATAAAACAAGTCCTTCCCAGTTTTGATGGAGGGTGCCATCTTTTTGTGTTTGTCTAGTCTTCTATTGCTAAAGAGTCAATTTCTATGCCCACCGATCTCACTCAGAACCCCTCTGCTCCTTAGTTTTTCAACTTTCCTTAATGTTATATTCCTGGATTAGCATCATGGAACACACACTATAGGAACTTGGGCAAGAATCTAAACCTTTCTGAACTTGTTTCCTCATCTGAAAAACTTGTTGTGAAAGTAAATGAGAATGAAATTATTCAGCACAGTACCTGATAAAGAGATGTCACTTATAAAAATGTTAGTTTACTTTCCTTTTACTTTGGGTTGAATAAATTTTTCTTCTGTTGTTTTTCTCCTGGGCTTACTGTTTCAGTTCTGTGCAGACCTTAATGCAAAACTCACCGTACACTATAGCTTTCATCAAATTCCACATGACACCAGGTTTTTTTTCTTATTTTCCTAGTATGACTGTAGTTTTATAGTAGATTATAGTAGATTGTAATATTGTTCAGCAGTATCCACTCTTTCTCCCTGACCCTATTCCCTTTCCCACTGACTTGGTTTACCCATGTGACTTCCAGGGGTGGGAGTGACAGGTTGCCTTTTTCTAGCAGAAGCCCATCACCCTCTTGCACTCTTACCATCCTACATGAGAACAGCGTGCTTAGATAGCAGCTACTTCTTCAGCCTGGGTCCCAGCATGAGACTCAGTGCAGATCTAAACTAAAGCCTAACTGATATCGGGAACCCAGGTAGGCCCAGCAGAGCCACAGCCAATACTCATAAGTGAGAAATAACTGTTCATTGTTTAAGCGACTGAGACTTTGGGATTGTTTATTGTCCCAGCAAAAATTGACTAATACAGAAACCATGGGGAGAGGGTCACAGCATACAGCTCCCGGCATTTCATTCACTCAGTCCCCAGGACAAGTACTCTTGTCCTATTCTGGTTTCCACATCCCCCCATCCCCTAATTGTCTCATAGAAGCTCAGTCTTGCACCCCCAATTGGTCTCTTTTATTATGCAGGATTATTTTCCTCTTGCCAGTGAAACTTGGAAGAGACTTGTCACTTTCACAGTGTGTATCCCACTGGCAATGTGCTCATCCAAATACCTTGTCAAGAAATCAGGCCTTTCTCCACAATTATTTTACCAGCTACAAGGAAACAAATTTTCATTATGTGTAACACAAGATGGATGCTTTTATCCTGCAGTCTTTTCTGAGATGTAAGTGAATCTTACTCAGGTTTAGGTAGTTACCTTCTTGCTTTAAAATAAATACCTGATATTTCTTCTTTACGGAGTTGCATTAGTTTCTAACTGGTGCTGTAACGAACTACCACAAGCACAGTGGCTTAAAACACCACAAGTTTTTTATCTTACAGTTCTAGAGGTCAGAAGTCCAAAATGGGTCTCACGAAGCTAAAATCAAGGTATCAGCAAAATGTGTTGCTTTCTGGAGGCTCTAGGGGAGCATCTGTTTCCTTGCCTTTTCTGGCTTCAAGATGCTGCCCACACTGCTTGGCTCCTGACTCCCAGATATCGAATTACTCTGATCTCTGCTTCTGCCTCACATCTCTTTCTCTGGCTCTACTGCCTCCCTTATTCACATATAAGGATTCTTGTATTTGCTTTGGGTCCACCTAGAAAATTCAAGATAATCTCCCATCTCAAGACCCTTAACATAATCATATCTTTTTTTCCCTGTGTAATAATAGATATCTTGTGGAGAAGTACTTTTTGATGCTAGCCATCCTAACAGGTGTAAAGTGATATCTCATTTTGATTTGCAATTCCCTGCTGCTTAGTGATATCAAGCCTCTTTTCATGTATCTGATGGCCATTTGTATGTCTTCTTTGAAAAACTTTCTATTCAGTCCCTCTGCCCATTTTTTAATCAAGTTGTTAGCTTTTTTGTTCTTGAGCTGTATAAGTTCTTTGTCTATTAATCCCTTATCAGACATACGATTTGTAAATATGTTGTCCCATTCCATATATTGCCTTTTCATTTTGTTGATTGTTTCTTTTGCTGTGGAGAAGCCCTTTAGTTTGATGTAGTTCTACTTGTTTATTGATTTACATGAACATCTGAAATATCAAGGCTATTGACCTATTTATTGCATGTGATAGAGTATGCAGAGATGACTTTATTTTGGTTCAATAGATCTTAAGTCAGTGATTCCTTACAGTAACCGACTCTATCCATAATAATATATTCATCCTTCACTGAACTGTTATGCTATTTGAATATTTCCTCTTTTTATGATCATTAATGTTTCCCTTCTAGGCAAAGTTTTTACTCCTAAGTGATTATAGTGTTTTAAAATCTAGACCATTTTACTCACAGGACTGCTTATGGTACATTTTCATTTTATTTATTCCTACTTCAATTATTAATACTTGTGGACCTATTGCTTAGTCTCCATAACTGAGAAACATTTCCTCTGCATAGCCATTCTTCTATTTATTTTTGTTTTGTTTCTGATTCATAAATAATTATAAGGGAATAGGAATTTGGAAGGATTTTCTTCCTGGATAAAGATTTAAGGTGGTTTTAAGATATTTTATTTAGTACTTGCTTCAGTACTTCAGTACAGAAAAAAAACCTGCCTTTTCTTTTTAAGAAGATCTATAATTCTATAAACTTTGTTTTCTGTTGTGTTTCCTAATGTAATTGTTTGCCATCTAGTGGACAACCTAAGTTACTGCTCAGTTTTATAAAATAGGGTTCTATGTAAGATATCTAGAGATAGAAATTGATCAGAGATATTCTGGGGCAATGTATGTTTCCATTAGTGTGTACCAGTTCAGATTATGTAGGATTAAAATGCTTAATCTTTTTTTGTTTTGTCCTTGTAGGCTGATATTAGAGATACTTATCTTTATCATAGATAAAGCAAATCGTTCAGGAACTGAGAATGAAAAACTAATTTATATAAAAGTAAGCAATAATTCTTTAAAAGAACCAGTACTACTTGGGGAGAGGAGGTGATCCTGTAGATACGATAGGTGGGAAGATCAAGGGGTCTAATGAGAGATGGAGAAGTGAAGGGGAAAGAGGTAAAGGATACATAGAGAGAAAGGATGGGTGGGGATCATTACAGAGATGGGGGAATACCTGAATAGGTAGAAAGGAGAAATAGCTAAGAAAGAACAGAAGGATCTGCGACAAAGAGGCAACTAGACAAAGTTGAAATGGAAAGGGCATAAAAAATGTGTCCAAGAGGAAAAAAAAAATTGGATTAAAAATGACCTGAGAGAATAGAAATGGTGCTTTATTTTGCAATGTGTGTCAGCTACCTAGAAGCACCACCTCTGATTCTGTCTACAAGATTCTAAGAAAGTGTCCCATAGATCTTACTTCCTGGTTTTTATGATCAATGTACAGACCTAGATTATACATGCACGTGTGTTGACTGATTTTTTCCTTTTGCCTTTTTCATATTTAGAGTTCTCATAACGCAGGGAAACAGTAAGGGTGTTGTGCTTCTTTTACTAGGAACTATTATTTCATTTGGGATTTTGTTGAAGTATTCAACCAGCAGTGAACTATTACAAGTAGAACGTAGGACTCCTGATTGCTTTGAGCAATTAAGCAACTGAGGGCGCTGGGGAATAATGTTAATCAAGGTACACTTTAGAAGTCTATTATTCACAAAAAGAAGTCAGGTGTTTCATTCAACAAATACTTAATTGAGTTCCCATTATATGTCAGGCCTGTACTAGACATGGGAGTGTAAGACAAAAAAAATCTTACAGTCCAATAAGAGTTTTTAGTTAACTGGAGAGGTTACAGACTGAAAACTCTTATCCTTCTTCTTTAAGAAATTATGTTTTGTATGAGTCTGCATGCCTTGTGTGATAGGCAGAATTATAAGATGACCCTCAGTTATCTATGCCTTGAGTGTGGATGGAACCTGTGAATATAATGACATACTGTTCTTGTGATTATACTACCTTAAAGGACAAAAGGGAGATTATCCTGTTTGGGCCTGATCTAATCACGAGTCCATTAAGTCTAGATCTAGAGGTCAGACACAAAAGAAGTCAGAGATGTAAGTATGAGAGAGATTTGAAAAGAGGGAAATTCTGCTGGCTTTGAAGATGAAGGGGCCATGTGGTAAGAACATGAGAATGGACTCTAAGAGCTGAGGGCATCCCCTAACAAAGAGCCAGCAAGAAAAAAAGAGATCTTAGTCTTGTAGACAAACCACTGAATTCTTCCAGCCCATATATGAGCTTGGAAGAGACCCCTAAGCATGAGGTAAGAATGCAGCTTATGGATATCTTGATTTGAAACCCAGAGTAGAGAGGATATAAAAGTGTACTAATACAAGGTTCTTATAGTACATATGAAATATTATTGAAAGATAGACTGTGATAATGTGTGTGTGTGTGTGTGTGTGTGTGTGTGTGTATTAAATACAAGAGCAACCACAAAATTAAAAAAAATAGATATACCCCAAAAGTAAATAGTGGAGACGAAATAAAA